TCACAAAGCATCATGAAGACTTAAGAAATCTTCTCTAACTGCTGCAATTGCCCTTTCTAATAAATTTCTTCAAGAGAAAGTCATCCTTCCATAAAACGATGCTGCTTCTTGAGGAAGGCTAAGGCCAAACAAATTTAGTGTCTGCCCAAATAAAATAACTTCTTTTTCCCCCCTAAAAGTTTCTTAGCTGCAGAATGGCAATAGGTCATAATACAAGTATTACTTGCAGATCCGATAAAATATGTCTAATGGCTATAGAGAATTATACAATTTAAAAAGTGAGATTTAATACCTTCTTAAAGCAATTTGATATGAAGTTCAATCTCTGGGTTAACTGAGTAAAATAAAATCCCCATAAACAGACAAAGAATCAGTTTAGTCAGCAGGTTAGTTTGAGCAGAAAATTGTAACCTCTAAGCTTTAGAGTGATCATCCCACTCATTTCTCAAGACAACCCAGTGACCGCTCTGACCAGATCAGTAGATTGCATCTGAGGAGCAAGCTCATCACTGTAATTTATAGAAAAAACTCTGCTTTGCTTACAGAAAGTAAAGATACAAAAATTAATTATATGGATTTTAACTACTGCATAGTTCAAAGAGTTTGTGTATGTCTTTTCTAAGTGGTTCTTTCCTTCACTGTTTATTTCTAAATAATTATATTCCTATGTGAGCTCTCTCCTCATTGTCCCCTTTCTTCAGCATCTGAGAAATCAGCATTTTCCCAGTTTCCACACTAATCCTTACTTTACTTGAACTCTGGTCTCCGTGTTTGCTTGAAAAGTCCAAAGTGTTAGCGCTACCAAGCTAAACGTCCTTCTAACACCACCTTGTCTTTTCAAGCATACTTATGCTCATCTATGTCTCTAACCAACACCTTCTAGTAAGTGCTTAGAGAATTTTCACATTTTCACATTAGTCCCAGAGGTAAGTGGCCTTTTCCATCATTCTTTATACTAAAGCAATCTGATATCTACTATCAGCCTTTAGAGATCTGTTGCGTTTGACAGCTACCGTGGGGGTACCATAACAAGCAACTTCTGAAATAACATTATTTGTTTAGCACTTTATTGTCTTTTGTTATTTAGAAAGCATTTACAGAAAATAATATAAAAAAGCAGGACTTAAGGCAATCCTTACATGCATGCCTCATTTAACCCATATCTAACTGCTTTCCACCTGGCAAAGCTGGAAGTTTTTGTCTCCTAAAACTCCTTTGGTAGTTGCAGCAACTGGCTGGTATAATCCAGATAACTTGCTAGTTTTCAATGCTATCTCCTGCACCCCGTCTTCTCTGTCTAGGCAAGAGCTACAAGGTGATAGTTATTTTATTGCAATTCAGAAGATGAAGGGACCAGTTATTCAGACTTAAGTGGCATTTTGAGTTCCCAGCTGCAAGATCCAACCTTCCCTTGAGAAATTCAATCATTTTGTCGCTAAAGGTCTTTGAATGCGTGAAGTTCCACTTTTTTGCATGCTCAGAACAGATACTCTGCAGATGCTACCAGTACTGCTCTGCTTGGTGTGTGGCTCTTAATTGGGCCTACTCATGTTCCTGCTAAGAGTTCTTCACCTAGCTCCAGAGGAACAGGATACAATAGGCAAGTTTGTCATGCTCACTCAAGACACACCTAGGAAAACTAGTTTGAAAACATGGAGACTGATAGTCTATTTCAAACACACAATGAGAAGAGAAGAGGTAACAATTGTACACAAGCTGTTAGTCATCATGCAAGACATGGTTCAGTACACAGCTCAGATGGAAGAGAAAAAATGGAGGGTGAGGTCCCGATCTATCACATCCCACAAGAATGCATTCTACCACTTATCTACAGATGCACACTGTCCTCATGTTTGTAAGAGTTGTTGAAGCCATGCCATATTGTAATAGGAGTCAGCATTTATTGGCCTAAAGAAAAACCACAGTAGCATGAACAAGAGAGCGATGTCCAAAAAAAAAGTTCATCTGTATTTCACTTACACCTTGAAGGATCTCTCATGCACTGTAGCCCACTAAAAAATTTGTGCAAAATAACTCATACCTGTCATGGAATAAGTATTCCAGTCTTCCATCCTTCCGTTTTCACTCCTGTCATAATAAAAAATTAGCACCAAGAAAAATTCTTGTTTTTCAAATCAGTCCTGGTCTGTCCTAAAACTTGATCTCAGTGCCAACAAACTGAAAATTGAATACTGCCACACAGATAATAAATAAAAGATTGAGTTAGAGTAAAAAAAAAAAAAAAGAAAAAACTTTTTCTTTTCCCAGGACTTATAAATTTGTGCTCTATATGCCTCGATAACTCTTTTCACCTTTTTTGATTGTATAGAGTAGAATGTCATAAGATCATCTCATATACAGATCTATTAGAAACTATTTTAAAAGCTTTTAACGATTACAGATACTTGTTTTTTGCTGATACTGTTGATTTTTTTTATGACCAGCACAGTATCTCTAAACAGTTTTAAAAAAAGGCCAACCTGAAATCTTCACAAAGTTACAAAAGATCCACTACTTCATTTGAGATCAAGAAATTGTTTTCTGCAAGCAACCCTGAGCTAAAAGCTCAAGGTCACCTTCTGCACACAAAATCTTTAGCAAGCACTAGAAGCCTGTAGAAGCTAGGTAAGGTGTTCTTCTGGTCAGTTCCTGCCCATACTTTTGACTAGTGCCAGAGTCTCAGTATCAAAATCCTAAGCTAAAAGCTTCATTTAAAATATCTTACCCTTTAGGATCTAATTGTGTTATGCTGGCCTTATGTTAAAAATGAGGGACACCTTACATCTCTTGTTAGGCTTGATTTGACATTTCTTTCCCCTTACAGCTATTCATTGCTGCACAAGTGATAGCATAAAGCTTTACTAAATCAAATTTTACATCTCTCAGGCACATTTTTCAGCCTAAGGAGGTGGGGGGGGGAACAAAAAAAACAGCCCCATCAGTTTTGATGAGCACTAAGAACATTTCTGAATTTCCTTGACTAATATTGTGGCCTGAGTGTTCTGCTTCCTCTCTCCTTCGGTGCAAATGGGAAAGTCATTTTAAAAACAAAAACAAGAAAAGCAGCTTTCTCTCACATTCAAACGTTCAACCAGAAGCTCCCCAGAGGCTTCTGTGATAGCTCATTCATAATATAATTCAGCTAGAGTAGTTAAGTGATGCTGCTGTACAATTTAAGTGCCTTTACTAATTTTCCTGGCCCTGGGGGCCTTTGAATCATATATTTCATCTGAAATGATATACGTTACAGAGAGCAATCACAAACACTCCCGAAGGAGTACAGGGGGACAACTGGACAAAGAACTTCCTTTTATAAATACACATCCTGCATCATTTTGTAGTCACTCTTACAGTAATCTGTACATGTAGTTTGCTCTGAACATATAAATTCAAGTCCCCATTTGGGATTCTGCTGTGAACTTGAACGTTAACGCACATTACAGCTATACATACTTGTACTATTAGCACACTTTTGTATATATGATCACAGACATGCATGAAAATGAATTTATTTTTGTTTCTTGACAGAGCCCAGAATCAGACAACCTTCCTGACCCTGTGACCCCCGTGGCTGAAAGCTACACGGGTAGCACTACTTCAGAGATAAAAGGATAAGAGAAGTTCCAGGAGTAGTCTGAATATGTCCTGAAGGATCCATAGTTTCACTAGAGGACAAAGGTGGGTTGGGCATGCAGTTCAGTCCCAGAACACAGCAACATTGATCTCAACAGTCCTGACTGCTTCATATCTTCCAGCAGATTGCCTAGCAATCCACGAGTGTCTCCATGAACACCAAGCGGTCCACCATGACCAATGGGATATTCAGCTGGAGTACAACAAGCTTCATATAAAAGATACTCTAGATCGAGTGTAGAAGAATTGGTGCAGGGTTAATTGAAGCTTATAGCCACGTTCTCTGTTGCTCATACAAATGGCTGTAAAATCTTCCATTCCATGCAAGAGCAGACATGGATTAGACCAGGAAATATCATAAACCATAAAGGCATATCCATAGTATAATGCAATGAGACAGAATCTCCACTTCCAATGAGAATAGCAAAGAACAAGAGTTTGTACATTGCTGTACTTTGTCATATGCTAGATACAAAGAAGGCTACAGTCCCACTACTCTTCAAAACGGTAATGAAAGGCAGGAAAACCTTTTATTATATTTATTAGCTTACACAGTTCAGTATCATTCATTACATCTAAAGTGAAATCTAATGCCACCCTATGCAAAGTGGCCATATACCCAAAGCTGGGACACTAAGACAAGTATTTAAGGTATGTGAAGGCTTGAAGCATCAATGCTGCCTCTAAAAGAGAAAGGGCATCTGGATTACTGGGCCCCACTCCTGTGGAAGGACTCGAAGATAAGCCAGTGTAAAGAAGTGTCATAGACATAAAAGCCCAAAGAAGTTTAAGTCTCACTGATGGAATGATTCATATGTTAAGCCCAAGCTGCATCCAGCCAAGTTCTGTAGCAACCTAACCAGTAACATTATTTATATTGCTCTTATATATGTACTTATCTATATTGTAACTGAACATAAGCAGATACAAACAGAAGAAAACAAGATTGGAAAATTGGTTTGTTCATCGTTTCAAGCAACTCAGTATGTCAGCAGTATCCAAATGAAATATTCATACACACAGATTTAGTGTCCTTTTCCTTTTTAAAGCCATGGGAAAACAGATGGGCTGGCCTGTATGCCCTTTAGGTCAATACATTTGTTGAACCAAACAATAAGCAAATGCCAACAAACATTCTCTAGTAGCTTTCTATGCTTCTCCCTAGTCTGCTGTATTTTTACTTTCTCCCTTTAAAGATGTCATTTAGATTTTGGTACTTCAGGCTTGCTAAGTATAAAAATAACTGAGCTTTGGCAAACTCCTGGTAGCATATGAGAAATTGAGATGAAAGCAATTACAGAACTAAAGGGAAGTCCTTACATATCAGGGAGCATATTGAAAGAGGATGGGATATTTTTCATACTCACAAGGGTTCCAAGTGGTACTGGCCTTTGAGATGAGCAAGAGCCAGCTTTTTCCCCCCCTCAAGCAGCTGCAATGTCTCTCGTCATCATCTCCATTTCCCCACAGATGCTGTGGGGTCACACCAGCTGGGACCAGGAGTCTGAAGGCTGAGATACCATGAGAATTGCTGTTCCTGCAACAGTATAAATTAAATGTATTCAGAAGTCACAAGATGTGACAGCAACGCAAAATGTCCTTTTCAATTTAATAAGTCCGTTGCTTTTGGATGTAGCTGTTCCAAACTTCTGGGAACTTCTCTGAAGTAAATGTTTTAGTGCTATAAAAAGTGCACGGCATCAGCCAGTTTAAAGACATTCTCTTGACTTTCTTCTTTTTAGAGTGTAACACTCTAATAACAACAACTTCTATAGAGATGGTAAAGTAATTACTTTGAAGAAACAATGAGAATTTCCAGTCTTAACGAAAGCTCACTGAAATAACTGGGGAAACCCCTGTGTACTTCAGTGAGCGCTGACTGAGGCCTCCAACATCAAATTCTATCATCCTTAAAGACTTGACCCTGCACCACTAAACATTACTGGGAATTATGCCATTGGCTTCAAAGGGAGTAGGAACAGGCCCTAAGTAAGCAAAATTCTTAGTTATTACTCCAACGGGAGTAATCCTGTCAGGCCACAGAATGTGCATATACAAGCCAAAAATTCAACAGTGCTTTCTAAATTATATCCATACACTTTGTATGAGCGCACTCTGTATTTACATATGCACGAACCATTCCAACACACGTATCAGGTAATTGCGCAGAAGGGCACAGGGGACTCCTAAGAGAGCTCACCTATAAACCTTAGTCTGTGTACCTGATGGGGTTCAGAGCACTTTCCCAATATTGTACCTCCAAAACAGGTATGCAGAAAGACAGTGCAGTTTCCTCAGATGAAATTGCAACAGCATGCCACAGGAGCTTTAAAATTAAGCTCTCCCTGTCTTCTGTCCTTCCCTTATATGAAATAAATTGGAAAGAATTAACAGCATTATTTAACAACACTGACCAAGCTGATGTGCTGACAAGTGGTACAGACTGTGTTTGAACCCACTGCCTTAAGCAGAAAAAGGCAGAAGAACAAACCCCATATTTAAGTACATGAATTGCTTTTGCAGGGTGGAACCTGATATCTTTGCATAGCACTCATTACCCACGCAGCCACACATGGTATAACACTGTGAGAAGTATGGCAAAAAGCCATAAGATTCATATCTAGGGTCTGTGACTGTGGGCATATGAAGCTGGGACGTGAGCTCAAGCAGTGAGAAAGCTGTTGTCAAGGTTTAAATCTAGAGAAGTTTCCAATAAGCAGCTAAAGCTCGGGGTGCTCAAATCTGACCCCATCTCTAATAAGTGTGGTTTAAGAATTGCTACATCTCAGTTATTTTTTTTGCCCACCATTATTCACGCCTCATTCTCCCAGACCAAAAGTCACCAAGATCAGAAAGTTTTATTGAACAGGTATCTAAATTTCACCTAAACAAAGTTTCCAAAATCTCTGATGCTTAAAAAATCTAGACCTAAAACACTTCTGAGGAGTGAGGAATTACATTTTGTTTTTTCCTAAGTCAAGTTAACTATTTCCTCCACCTTACCAACATCCACAAGGGTCCACAAGGCTCAAAAACATCTCCAGAATTTTGAACATTCAGTTTTCTTTTGGATTTCCCATTTCCCTACAAGCATACCCTATCCTGCACAAAAAAGGAATCAAGGATGGACATATGTCAGACTAAACTTTCAAAATATCTTCTTGTTTTTTTTTTCCTCCTCATTTCAAGATTCATGACTACATTTGAAAACCACAGATACACAAAAAAAAAAAATGATTCTTGGTATGAAACAGCATATTCAGGTTCATTTTTAGCCTAAAGGAGTTCAAACCTGGTGCTGAGATTTGGTGCAAAGGGATGTGATACGTAATATGCTGAATTAGTAAAGAATTTCAGTAAGAGAGGAGACAGGTAGAGAAGCAGCTCACATATTCCCTGAGATCATTAAATACCTCTCTTAGCAGAGGACAGGGTGTTTCACTGGATACAGAAAGTAAACTCAAGTCTCGGCAGCAGAGGAGTTAAAGTTTAACTAAATAATGAGTTCCAACAGAGATGATGATAAAGGCCACTAAATCTAGAGACACCTACTGCACCAAAACTCAGTCCTTTGCCAGAGATTCCAGCTAGGTTATTGATTCAGTGAGAGTGCAAATTTTAAAGGAAATTAAATCCTCCTGGAGAAGGACAGTTCCAAAACTGGTAGATAAAGATAGTGAGGGGGAATTGAATGCTAGAAAAATAGCATGCATCCACCCTGAACAAAAGGGATAGCACATTGCTTCCTGAAAGATAAAGAAAGGAAAAAAAAAAAGCATGTTTTTTTTTTTTGAAGTTAGCTGAGACACAATGAAATAAGTGTGCTTTCATCTACAAGTTTTCATAAATGAAGAACTTGAAGGACATGTGTATACATTACTCAGAAGAACACCTTTCCTCCCTCACCCTCAACAAAACCCTGAGGTCTCCACTCACACCAGTTTTATTAATCAAGATCTTGTTGGCTGACGAGGAATCCACCAGCTTGACCCCCCTCCCCAGCCCTGGGCACGGCCCTGGATACATTTGCTCTGCTGGTAAGACAGACAGGATGAGGATTTCCCCCCAGTAACTCTCCAGCTGAACCAGCTGGAGGCCTCCCATGGCAGGAAGTCAATTTATAGACTTCTGACACACAGCAGCTGCTGTCGAAAGCTCCCCACAGCTTTTGAAGCCACATTGACCAGCCTGCTTCCATTGGCTCCCTATTTTAACAGCATCTTGAAAAACAGAAATTTATGCCCAAGGGTTCAGAGACTCTCAGGGCTTTCTCTTTTCTACATCAGATTCCGGTGACAGCCTACAAGCAGACAAACACCTCAGTGGATCTGTTTAGCTCTTGCACATCATACCACTCCCAATTAGTGCCTACTCCCAAGCTCTGTGCCCTGGTACAGAAGTTGAATACTTGCGCTAAAGGTAATGCTTCACAGCTAAATGTTATTTGGGGCAGTGGAACTCAGGGAGGAATGCAGAAAGCAAATAGTGGGAAATTTCTATATAGGCTTTTGTAAGTGTCACAAAACCATAAAGGTTTGAACTGCTGCTTAAAGCCATTATTTTTGGAGCAGGGTGGTAGCACAGAAGGAAGTTGTGATTTGTCCCATTCAGTAGTTCTAAAACTAGCCCATGTTGTCTCCTACTTTGAAACAGACACATATCAGTAAGAGACTGCTTCCATCCATGTATTTTACTGCTATTTTGCCTTTGTGTTTGTTTTTTTTTTTTTCATCCTGTCTGGCATTTCCACCAGTACCCATTGCATTACATTTTTGATGGTATCCTGCCTACCACATTATTTCTTTTGTAGCACAAGGGTGCAAAAAAGAGGAATTTCATGAAGTTCTGATGGTCTCTTTCAGTTCTGCAAAAGTCAGAAAGATTTTATCAGCTGGCATTTTTCATTATTCCCATCCCAAGCAGCAGCTGCTTTCCCCCCTCTGCTGGCATCCTGCCAGAAGAACAAAGCCGCCTAGTTAACAGAACTGTCAATAATCCATAGGCTTCAACCTGATAAAGTCATCAGGGAGGCTATTATTAAATTGGGTCCTAAGAATAGTGATAGATAATTGTGATTGCTTTACCAGGTAAATGAAGAGGAAATCTCTGAAATAATTTATGTCAAATTTGCGGAACTCTGAGCATCGACTGAGGCCTCCAACATCAAATTCTATCAGCCTTAAAGACTCAAGACTGCACCATGTGGAGCAAAAATTTTCCATGCTGGCATTCTCCATTGGGGTTGCTAATCTCTGTGTCATGGTTAATGTGCAGATTAGATGAGAATACTCTCTTTTTCTAGCTCTTTTAATGCCACAGTTCAGCCTCAGTAACGTACTAATTCTGGCCAACTTCTTTGGAAAGCACCTTTTCGGTAAAACCCTGGTGAGAGACAAAGAGGACACATCAACAAAACAGGTCAAGCAATTGCCTTCAGACTGACTAGAAATCTTCTCAATACATCTAAGAGTCCAGCATGGTGAGGCATGCACCATTACACTTTATCAGAGAAACAGACAGCTAAAATTTTCAGCACCTGAAGCTTTCAAATAAATACCTACATATTTTGCTGGCACAAATCGCTAGGAAGTACATCAGAGTAAGCCTAAACGTGTAGTTGGATACTGCATGCTGGAAGCTTCTGGATGCCGGATGCTGCAGACACAATTTCTTGCTCTTCCAGAAAGACAAGAAAGTCCCTCCAAAACCTTCTGTGATCTTTTCTCTACAAACATCTCCATCTTATCCACACAGCCTCCATTTTTCTCTTTCCTAGTCTTCTAAGTCAGATAAACTTTCTCCATCATTGCTTTTGTTCCCTTCATCCTCCACTTCTTTTAATACCAATTCTTACTTAGGACTAAATGACTTTTCCTGGCTCTGGTAGTACTCAGCTGCTGTAAGAAAGAACATTTCTTTCACCTGCTTCTACTTCAGCCTACTCATCCATGAAACAAAGTACACGACTTGCCCACCAGTCACAGTCTCCAATGCAATTTGTTCACACTACTTATATTGGTATTTAGGGAGGATGGGATATAATAAACTACAACTTCCTCACTGCAAACTAAAGATCTCATTTTCCTGGCATCTAGCAACCCTGCGGTATCTTTGTTGACAACCTGCCAAGATCTTTGCAGGTTCTCAGCAAATCTGTTAGTCTCTGCTGGGGCCAGCTGCTGTCTACAACCCTCACATATTCCAAGCTTCGTTCAATTTGACACACCCCTCAACGTATTACGTGCTTCTGACCTCAGGGGAAATCAGATGGAAAGACACTTCTGCTGACCATAGCAGAAACCTTACCTCATGAGCCCTGAAATTCAATTTGTATAGTACCACAATGGGTGAGAAGAGATGGGGTCAGAAGAAGGAAGGGATTTTCATCCAAGCCTTCTCAAAGATTCAGGCTTGGCATCGTGTCCAGAGACATTTATCCACCCTCCCAAAGAAACAGATGAAATTGCAGAAGCTGATAAGATTTGAACAGTTACCAACCTTCAAAAAACACTTCAGATTTGTCAGCAATCTAGTTCT